CAGACGTGTGCTCTTCCGATCTCCCCAAAACCCCAAAACCCCAGTAGTCATCCAATAGGTTTAAATGGAATATTATAAAACAATAAAGTATAAAGATCTATGAAACATCAAAAAATGATTTTCATTGCTACTGGCATCTAACACCGCCTCTCTACTGACCTTCTTCGCCCATTTCTTCATCACTTCCATTACCCTCATTGCCACCTTCATGATGAGTATTTCTATGATCTTCCTTAAAAGCTTTTAATTGAACAGTCTCAGCTACATCCATATCGGTATCACCCTTTTTCTTCTAAGAGGCTAGTGCCTCACTTATTTTTTACATTTAAGCAGTTGTCAGAGTTTCAGGGAAGATAATTTTAAAGATTACGAAAAGATTTCCGTTTTTAAAGGTTTGCTTATGAAGAGGCATTCCCATATTTTCAATAGTCTTTATATCATCAGGCTTGATTACTTCGCCTGGCTTATTCTTTATTCTAATTTTTCTATCATCGAGATGAGTGATTACAAAATCAACTCCAGTTAATGCTTCTTGTAAGGTTATTTCCTTTTCAAACATTAGATCAGCTCCCTTTCTCTTGAAAAATTCATGCTTTTACTCTACTACTTATATTATGACATCTCCAGCTTCGATTCCTGGGAACTCATCTGCTTCACCATGAAGAATATATTTTTCTCCATTTGGTGCACCCTTATCAATAGTGACGTCCAAGATTTTCTTTTCTTTAGTAACTTTCTTGCCATCGCAGTTTTTACACTTGTTTTTGTCATCGATTCTCTCTCCTTTTCCATCGCACTCATCACAAGGTCCTGTTCTCTAAGTATACATACCAGGCCCGATTTGCTACATGACGGTTCTAGCACCTCTACCTTTGCAACCATTGCAAGTTTAGACAGCACCAGCTTTACCACCAGCTCCATTACATTTATTACAAATTCTGTCTCTATTCACAGCGATCTTTGTATTTTTACCCAAATACAGGTCCTTTAATGTTGCTTTGACTTAATGAGCAACTGGTTTTCCCTTTTTAGGGCCACTTTGCTTTTGTCGGCCTCCACCGCCCATGCCAAATAGGTCGAATATATCGCCCATTCCTCCCATACCTCCGGCTCCTTAGCTCAAGCCTTCTTCGCCATATTTGTCATACATATCTCTCTTCTCAGGATCACTTAAAACCTCATAAGCCACATTCAAATCTTTGAATTTCTCGGGATCACCTCCTTTGTCAGGATGCTCTTTCAAAGCTTTCTTTCTGAACGCTTTCTTTATTTCGTCTTGAGTTGCTTTTTGATCAACTTCTAATAATTGATAAAATTTCTTGTTATCAATATCTTTCTTTTTTCCTCCACCATGCATTTCCTCTAAAATTCAATATTAAGTTATGCTTTTTAAAAAATGTTTTACTGAAATCGCCGAATGGGAAACCACCGCCACCGAAGAACATATTTTAAATTTTATATAGATTATTCTAGAACTTAATAAATAGGAAATTATAATGATTTAGAATATTCAAGACTGACGCTCTCGAATTATCTAGATTATTCGTGATCATGGGGTTTTGGGGTTTTGGGGTTTTGGGG